AAAAAAAAAAAAAAAAAAAAAAAAAAAAAAAAAAAACAATCGCATTGATCATATTTTGTTTTTTAATCGGTTTAAATTGTACAAAAATACTTAAAAATGTTATAAATATGATACAATTGTTTTTTATATGACATTAAATTTTTAATAGTTTAGAAATGATATGTAAATATGTATAGTTGTGAAAAATCACTCATATAAGAAAACGCAAATAATTTGACCCTTATCTTATATTATAATTAATTAACATGTTGATTACTAATTGTAACTGATTGTATTACTATAAGCAGGTAACATCTCCACACTCTCTAGGCATACTCTCAAGGTCCGAACCCCCAAGCCTCGCCCGGTTCCGCCGGGGCTACGACAGGGCCATTTTCACTCCGATGCTCAAGTTCCTCCGAGACACCAAATCGCCATTCATGGTAAACCCCTACCCCTACTTCGGCTACTCCCCGCAAATGGCGAACTACGCCCTCTTCAAGCCCAACCGCGGCGTCCGAGACACCAACACCGGTATCACCTACACCAACATGTTCGACGCAATGCTCGACGCCGTCCACTCGGCCGCCAAGTCCGTCGGCTACGGGGATGTCGACATCGTGATTGGCGAGACGGGATGGGCCTCGGCCTGCGAATACCCGGCGTGTTCGGTGCAGAACGCGAGGGATTACACTACCAACCTGATAAGGCATGTGAATTCTGGGAAGGGCACGCCATTGATGCCCAACAGGAGGTTTGAGACTTATCTGTTTTCTTTGTTTAATGAGAATCTTAAGCCTGGTCCCACGGCTGAGAGGAACTGGGGGCTCTTCCAGCCGGATTTTACTCCGGTTTATGATGCTGGGATTTTGCGCAATGGAGTGCGGGTAAGTTTAATTTCTGCATTATAGTTACTTAAACTAGTAGATGATAGTCATTTGATTTGGGGAATGGAAACACCTCTTCGCTATAGCGTAACGTTTTAAAGTGCAACAAAAAAAACAATGACAATTAATAAAATTAAATTTTTATTACGTCACATCATAATAATTTATATATTTAATGAGTAAGTACCCTTAAAACGTAACTATAAAAACGCGTTTTATATACATATATAAGAAGGCAGCAGAGAGAATTTGTTATAGTTGTGACCTGTTCTCAAAAAAAAAAAAAAAATTTGTTTGCTTACTTACAATGTCATTAGTTTTTTCGTTTTCTCTTCCTTCTTTGCAGCTAAGCAAATCTTGTCCTATTAGTCTTAATTGCCAGATCACATGCATACAAATCAGCCATTTTAGTTTAATTCTATTTCTTTTTCTTCTTTATTTCCATAAACTTTGACTTATTATCAAATTCAAGTTCGTTTAATTCTATGCTTTCAACTTTTATATAGCCCGGTGGTGGGTTGGGCAAGAAATGGTGTGTACCAAAGTCGGATTCCAGCACCCAAGCTCTGCAGGCCAATATAGACTACGTTTGCAGCTCGGGTGTGGACTGCAGGCCCATACAAGGTGGTGGGCCATGCTTTGAGCCCAATGATATCAGGTCCCACGCCTCCTTCGTCATGAACTCTTTCTATCAAACCAAAGGTCGCAATGATTACAACTGTGATTTTGCCAAAACCGGAGTCATTACTTACACGAATCCAAGTACGTAAAAATATTGATTATTATGGTTCTTTTCTTTAGAAGTGAAAATATTTATTAGTAATTGATTTCATAATGTTAATGCACTTAATTTAATTTGCGCGAACAGGTCATGGCACATGTTCATACCTCTCTTGAGAATTGAAGGAGATGACAATAATTTTAACTACAACCAAATTTGATAGGAAGTTTTCTAATTGGAATTATATTTATTTTTTAGATTTCTGATTTCTTTTGGCACTTTAATTATGTATTACATGTAATATTTTTTTTTCTTGATTATAAAGACTGGCTGATACGTCAAAAATAGTGTCGTTTGAGCACTAAATTGTACTTGCATCTCTGTTCGAGCCAATGAAAAGAGCATATGTTTTTCCTTTTTTTTTTTTTTTTTTTTTTTTTTTGA